TTTTGATTGGCCCACACTCTAACCAAACAGAGTTTGGGTTTTCAGGCCCATAGCCGGTTCGAAACGCGTCCCCGCACCATACTCGGGCGTACGCGTTCACATCGCCTTCGATCAAGCAGTTCTCCTCCTACCCAGGCAAAGTTGCTGTGGAGAGTCCATGCAAAAACATAGGTGCTAGACTCGATTTTCGCTCTTAGAGCTCATACACAGTGCCCATCTTTGGCCGCCCCGAGATTTGAGCTCCAGACATCTGATATGGGAGGCCGGCGTGTTACTACTACTTCATTAATCCACGCTGGACGCACTCGAATTACCACGTCTGAACAAGGGATGCTGTCACCCCACACAGCCTCGAGTGCCGCTCCTTGAATCGTAAGTGGCGGTGACTATCCAGGATCATGAGCTGACGTTTTGTGGATGCACAGCACGTTCCAAAGAATATGCACATTTTCCTGCTCTTCAAAGATGGGAGCAGTATCATGAGCAATCTCCAAATCGACGAGGATTTCGTCAGCGACTATTTGAACGCCACGGCTTTGAAGCTTCTCTAATATTCGTCTCATTATCTTATCGATTACGAAATCGGAAATGAGTGGAAATTTGACAAACTTCCAGCCGTGTGTGCTGGGGAGGATACTCCAATTTACTGAGTCAAATGTGCCTTTCAAGTGGCTAGTCATTGTCCATTTCTTAAACGCCGGCTGTTGGTCAGAGCTCTCGACTCTTCACCCTTTGGCGTTCAGGGGATTTGCGTGCACCTTCACACATGGCGCCTACTGGTATGGAATTCATAGCATCAACCAGCACTAGCCACCTCGATCATGTTCTGGTGGAAGTTGAGAAGTTTTTCGTGTGGTGTTGTGTTAGTAGCGGTGCACGACAAGGGGTGCAAAGCATCTAGAAGCACGCATTTCCACTCAGTAACGTCGTCGATTTTAAAGGTCCACTTCCATTGACAAATATCTTTTAACAATGATTGACGAGTACTCCCGTTTTCCATTCGCCTCCCCACCCACCTTGATCACATGTTTGTTCGGAATTCCCTCATACGTCGATTCTGATCGTGGTGGAGCGTTCATATTGGACGAGGTGCAAACGTTTCTTCACGACAGGGGTGTAGCAACCAGTCGAAGTATCCCATACAATCCACGCGGTAGCGAACAAGTTGAACGACTAGATGGTACTCTTTGGAAGTCTGTTACTCTGACATTGAAGACTCAACAAAGGGACGTTACTGAGTAGGAATGCATGCTTCTGGATGCTTTGCACTCTGTTTAGCTTTTATTGTGCACTTCTACTAACACAACACCACACGAAAGTTTTCCTAACTTCCACCGGAGATCAACGTATGGCATCTTGCTTCCGACTTGTTTATCGACTCCAGGCCCCTTTCTGTTAGAAAGAATGACACGTTTTTCCAAATACGATCCGTTAGTTAAAGAGGTAGAACTTGTTAATTGCAACCTAAGGTATGCTTGCGTTCGTTTACCGGACGAAAAGGAAGGAACCGCTCCTTGTAAATATCTGGCATTCAAAGCACGAAATATCTCCGGTGTAGCGGCTCCTCAAGACGAGATTCAATCACACTCGATTGATCCTCCTGGAGGCAAAACGGCGCCACCAGGACAACTCATTGAAATTCCAGAGAATATTCTACAGTACATCACAGACCAACAACCTGTTCGACCACGTGATCTTCGAAATTGCGAATCCTGATCCATATTTTCCTGACAATAACCCCACCGGCGGGGAAGAATACTATATACTAACGTTGTGTTAAACTGTTTACTTGCTATTCATTAAACTAACTATGCTTCCTGTAAACATAAGTTCTTGGTACTCTCCGACTTCCAGACGTGTGAGAGTATATGAAGAATCTCCAGGAGCTTCCGTACACAAGGCGGTGTCCGTCAGGGGTGCCCAATCTCTCTATTCCTATTTCATTCCTTGATCGATGAGATAATGAGACGAATGCTGAAAGGCCTTCAAAACCCGTTTTCAAATAGCCTCTGACGAGAACTTGTCGATTTTAAGTATGCAGACAACATCGTTCTCATCTTCGAAGAGGAGATGGCACAGGTGTTTTTGGATGAACTGAACGAAGTCACCCCGTACTCTGGTATGCAGTTTGTCTCCACAAAGTGTAAGATCATGCTCGTTGACATGCAGACAATAAACACGCCACTTACAATCCAGCGGGAGACACTAGAATTTGTGGAGCGTTTTACATACCTTGGAAGTTGTATTAGTTATGATAAAAGCGTGGCAGATGGGGTCAGTTCACGATCGTGGGATGTTCGGGTCATGTTTGCTAATTTGGGACTCCTATGGCCTCAAATCGATATATCTGTATATCAAGGGACGTGTAGAGTAGGCTACCGTGTGGGTTTGTTCGTTCTCGGACTTCCTTGAAACGGTGGAATCAGTAGCATGCAGGCGATCACTGGAGTTTGCAGACGACCGATCAATCATATCCCGTTCGTTATGGAGTATAGCTGTCAATGATGATGCTGATAATGATAAGAATCCCGATGGTGATTATCATGGAAGTGATTATGTGGCAGCAATGCTGTTGATTAACCTAGTGCAGGGAATGGCAGTTATCAGCAAGATAATCGTTGATTGTGTCCAAAAGTCTTTGACGCTTTCGCAACAGGTCACGTAGATCGGAGAAGTTGCGATTTGTCCCGCACTGTAACTTGCAGTTCGGACCTTGTGTGTGGAAACTACGCTATGAATCGCGTTCATTCCCGACTTGACCCGCCACGGGAGGAACTATAACCTTCAACGGACGTTCCTCACCCTGTTGCTGTTAGAATTCCATAGGTAGTTCTCGTGGAAAACAGTGCGACCACTAGAATTCTGCGTGAACACATACCTCCTCGTGCGCAGAAAATGTTAATATCACGAGTCAACTAGAAGCAGCATGGCTGATCAGTCGGCCGCAAGTGTTGGCAGCGCTACCTCAGTATGAACTTCCAAAGGATGTCTAAAGCAACCAGGATATCGGATTTCAGCTTGTCGTTAGCTGTCTGTTAGTGACGTTGGTGCAAGAATGTAAATGATTTTGATGGTTGCGTTTAATGAAGGACCCTTGAGATGATCTGCCAGTCTTGGACAATAGTTGTTCCCAACGGAGTACACCATGGTGGACGCTGCTGTCAAAGCTAAAGGTAAGGCTGAAAGGTCCGGGTTTTCGCTTTGATACGCTATGAATCGGAAGCAGCAACCCATGTCTACAATCGACAAACAACTTCAACTTTGTCACCAAAAGGAGTTCGCGCAACGAGACTGGCTTCTGCTTTTAAGAAGTTTTTCATAGTTCAGTATCTGATCTGAAGTCCGCTGTGATTAGAACGTGGAATACAGTTATTCTTCGTGGTCATAAACGCCGTCGGACGTACCTCAAGTCTGCATTCAGCGGCAGTATTGTTCGTTTTTGTTTTCAATATGAATATTGCAATCTAATTTCTCCTATAAATTGCCTATTCTCCCTAACTGTTCTCTCACGAGGAAACTCATTACGGTATCTTTTCATGGGGATTCTTGGAATGGGCTTTGCTCGTCCGAAGAGGACTCACAAGAAAAGCAGTGTGGTTGTCCAAGTGCCTGTGTTAAAAGGAAAGTTAGTGATAACGTACGCAGCCATGGTCGGAAAGTGGCCAAGCGACTGGGTTTCTCTTCTGTTTTGAGCAGGCTTATACTACAGCCCATCGGACAATATGTTGGCGTCCTGTGTCGCCGTCAAAAGCGAAGGTAGTCCTATGAACATCACCTAATTTCGTGCACAATTATCTCTTATTCTTATATGAGGAATGTTTGAATGCAGGCTCAATGAGAAACGTTTTACTGAGGCACCTCTATGACACGTTATTTTCTAAGAGCCGCGATATATTTACAGCATTTTGGAAAGGGATGACCTCTGAATCAGTCACAAACTATTTATAAGCGATTGATCCGCAGCGTTGTTTCATACACACAATTTGGGCATTTAAATATTGACCAAATTTGGTTCGTTGCGACCGCAGATAGTTGTGACTTTCTGTTCCTAGTTACTACGAAGTAGTTTGGCCCGTCTCTAGCTTGTGAGTTCCATTATCATCATGACTGACAGCAATCCCATAAGAGAACCCCGGCTCTGTACCGTCGTACTTGTGGTTCTGTCACGTTCTGTGGGCTTATTATGAAGCGCCAACCTGTTTTGCCTTTTAGAGTCCAAACATGAATCCGTCGAATAACTCAACTTTCCCTTACCCTTCTGTGCCTGCGACGGAGGACATGAACAAGTATGCTCACTTGCTCCAGGTTATCGAGGAAATGGGCCGAGATATCAAACCAACATATGCAAATAACAAAAACGCTGCCGAACGCCTGAAGAAAAACATCCATACCGCGCGCATCCTTGTGCGAGAATGTGTTTCTGAACTTGAACGTGTATTGGTTGGTTAAGATTCCTTCACTCTTTTTGATCATTTGTTTCATTTCCATTAAAGCTTGCTTCATCTGTACATATATATGTTTAGTCCCGATCCTCTTCTCTGTTGGTTGTACGGCAGTGAAGCATCGGTGTTGAACACTGATGTCATGCTGTCGATGATGATGATGATGATCTCTGTTGGGCGAGACGTTTCCAGATATTACTACAATCATTACGTTTCTGCAGGAGCGTTACACCAGTAACTAAGAGTTTTGACTTCCTGATTTCCCAACCAGTCAACGTAAGAACGGTTGGGTAAATACCCGACAAAAAGTTAGCGATGATTAGGCATAGAAAATGCTATTACTGGACTTTCATTTCCAGTCTCTCAATTGTTAGCCCTGAAATAATCCTTGTTGACCACTACATCACTCCCGGTTGATTATGATCCCTGTGAATTGTTTCCGAGTCTCCGGGCTGCCTCCGTTTGGACTAACTCCACGATACGCCCGGGGACTTGTGTGCAATCGCTTGAACGCACCAAAGTCACATTCACTCACAAGTAAAGCGTCCCAGAAGATGGACAGAAAAGGACCGACATCCTGGCCATAAACGTTCTCAAACTCATAACCCATGACAGTCAAATTAGGTAACCGAGCAGTTGAGTGGGAACATGCCACCTTCATACCGACTAGAGAGCGGGTACTTTCAGCTTTCATTTGTCGTCCACGGCTCAAACTGACCAATAGCTAGCTAGACGGAATGATTCAGTACTGTAACTCCGTCGAATTGCAGTTGCAAGACCAAGGGAAACATCTAGGCCAATCGGTTGCGTAAGTCGAGCAAGCCCATGTTTCGGCGCATCCGGGCTCATTTCCTATCATTGGATAGAAGGATGAATAGTATGTGTTTACCGATCGCTCAATTTAGCCCTACGGTATATCATTTTGACACTTGCAATCATTCCATCCTAATTAGAATGGTGAACTTAGTGTACGTGTAAACGGCACACAGTAACCTGAGTTAGGAGCATACGTTGGGACCCACGTTGTATGGAATCAGGCCTTCACTGAAGTGGTCACGCACAGCAAGATGCACGCTGAGGCTCTCGGCGCGAATACCTAACCCATTTCCATATACCCATCAATAAATCACTACCTGGCATGCATTTTTGCGAGTGAGGACCCCGACAAGAAAAGGATAAAAAATGATTTCTGTTGGTGGGTTGCGGGATATGTATTGCTGGTATTCAAATCACTCTCGTTTGAACAATCGTCCTCCTGTCCTGGCCTAATTATTCTGGTGAGTCTACACCAAAACGGTTTTAGGCGTCTATGGCGCTGCCTGACTGTGAAGTCCAGACAGGCGGGTCAGTCGATCGTCACAACCAGGACAGTTACTGGGTTGTCGTTCGATGAGTCGGGCGCACCAATCACATCGCTCAAGTGTAAACACGAATTACAGCCCTTGAAAGATATGCTCAAGGCTCTGGAAAACGTGTAACGCCAAATGGATCGAAGACAAGACTGCACATACTTTGATTATAGTAATGCCCCAACCCAGTGTTAGCCGTCGCCACAACTTGTTCGCCAGTTTCTCTAAGTGAAGTCCACATCGTCTGTTGCACACAAGTACTCCGTAGAATAATGCTCAAAGAAAGAAACGCTTGCTGACCAAGATGCCGCCGAATCCGTTGACTCCAGAACAACGGCAAACAATGCTAGCAGAGCACACACCTTGGTCGAACGTCAGCAGAACGATTCGTTATAGTCGACAATGAAAGCGACCAATGATGCTGTTGCACCCTTCAAGCTGCAGTAAAAATAGTTGCATGCATCGTCGACAATACCAATAGCAGTATGCCCGATGGTAGGCCACCAGGTCATCTAACCTGCCGGGACCGCTCGTAAGGCACTGGAGGAATTGACAGGACACCGGAACGTTAATGGTTAACAAGTAGCTGGTGTCTGCTTCATTCCACCAATTTTAGGCCAACTGACAGCAAACCTCTGATTCGTCAGTCATCCGCACTAAAAGCTTACGTGCAATTTTCGATAGGACTTCTCCTGAACATGCACAAAAATCAGCGGTTCTGCCAGTTGGTCGGCAAATTTGATTCAGGTGTCGTTCATTTATTTGTCGGAAGACTTTTTTGGGGTACCATCGCACTATCGTGTACCACTACTAGCACGTACCACAACAGTCATCGGCGACGGATTACAGACCGATTCATCATAAAAATCGGTGCATCCTGGACGCAAACACATTCGGCCTAGCAGCAGTGAGCGGGAATACGTAGAAATCTGTCACAGCAACCTGACCTATGATTAGCAGATAAGACGTAATCCCAAGAGTATCACGAATTCATCGCAATTCCTGCATCACAATTAGCTGAAAAAAATTGGAAACCTCCGGAAAATGATCACAGGGTACGAATAGATAAACTGGGACGTCACTCTACATAAGGAAACGGGGTGTCTTGTAGACACGACTGTACAGAAACAGATAAAAACATGAAGATATTATACAAGTTTAAGGGTACCGGGTATGAGTCGAATTGTTGCTAGCTTTGTTAAAATAGGTACTGTGTGATCAAGAAATAGTCCATCATTCAGAGAACGTGACTGAGAACTTCGTAGCCTTTTAGCTGGCGTTGAAGGGGACGCCTGTTCATCCCAAGGTGAGTCGTTGGATGAGTGGATGAAATTGTTCCTATCATGTGGCAAGTTAGATAACGGACGTTTGGGACGAGCACGAGTGCCACACTTTGTCAGACCTGGCAACAATTTCCCGGATAGCGAATTGTTCGTGACAAGAGCCAAAGCGGATCGCAAACGCTGTTTCATGTCCTCCGTGACAATAAGTTGTTCATATGGAATTTTGCCTACAGAAGAGTGTGGAGACGCAGTCCGGGGTTCTCGTACACCAGTTGGAGACGCACGTTGTTTGTTCACATTGGTATATGCTGAAGAAGTTGGCATACTGTTCTCAGTTTGCAAATGTTCTTGTGTGGACAAACTGGAGGAACTTTCGGTGCTCTTTAGTTTTAAGTCACTGCTCTGGATTTTCGTGGACTTGTGCCTTGTGAGTAAAGTAGAATTATCATAAACCGAATCACCCAGATGAACCGTCGAGAAGAATTCCCTATCAGAGCCTGACAAGGTAGAGAAATGCTTGCTATCGAGGACTCGCATTTGCAACTCTGATATCCGCCACATTCGTCTAAACAAAGCTAATTTACGCCGCTCACGCTGGAGAACCATGTCAACTACCAGACGAGCCCGATCAAGACCAAAGCGAACACGGCGGAAAGAATCGAACGCTTGTTGTTCAGCTGCGAGGCGAGCCGCTTTGGCCAAAGCTTCTTTCGTTGTATCAACTGATTTACTGGCTAATTCAAGCCAGTGTGACGGGGGAGGATAAATAAGTGGTTTATTGAAATTCGCGCATCGTTTCAGACGCCAGTAAATTGTGATTGCACGCCGAATATCCTCGGGTATAGATGGCCTTTTGTTTACGTTGGATAAATCACTTTTAGCGGTCTTCGTGCTTCCCGTGGTCGTTTTGCTCGAGAGCCACGATTCGACATCGGTGTCTGTAACTAGGTTGTAAAAGTTGGTTTCCAATTCAAGCAGTCTGTAAAGGTGTGAAAACCGCATAAAATAATTATCAGCACACCAGCAGTAAAAAGTACCGAGAAAATGGAAAGAAAAGATTGACGGATACCTATGCATGTCTAGGATTGCAACAATGCATGATAAGAGTAAGCTCTCTCGGGACAAACAAAACTACTCATATATCTCGCGCATCCACTCTACAAAGGCATTCGCACTACACCCACCCATGTGCAGTAGTGATACTTCTTATAACTGATGAGATCTCGGGTGTCTCCCCCAAAAATATACACGGATGCTAGCGCCACTAATATTGCTGTTTTACACACTGTCTAGCAAGGCAGGCTACCGGTTGATGATGGGTATCAGATCACTCATTGACCTGATCATCGGTGACTTCAATGCTGGGTCGTAAAGTGTGACAGATAAGATCAATGCACGGATCTGCAAGGCTCAGGTCGCGTTTGCTAAGCTGAGATACCTATGGCGGAAAAGTGACACTTCTCTGAAACCCAAAGAACATGTATCAGGCTACATAACGGGGTATTTTGTTGTATGGTAGTGAGACTTGGTCTGCTCGAGCAGCGGACCAAAGCACGTGGGATCCGGTGTCTGCGAAACTGGTAACGAAGCAATTAGGAGACGTGTTCAGTTGTGCAACGGCAAATTCTATCGAAGAATATGTCCAGCACCAGAAGCTGTGGTGGTTGGGCCGTAATGCACATGCCTGATCGTTTGCCAAATCGAGTTGTGCTTTCTGTACCCGGGGCAGAGAGAGGGTCAATCTTAGGTCTGGCAGAGGGATATGAAAGAGGTTACAAAACGTTTGGGTGCTGTCAGTGCGACTCGTCCTTCAGGATAGGAACCGCGTGATCTCCACTGCGCCTGGTTGGAGACACTGAAAGATATGGCTGCTAATCAGTGTCAATGGCGTTCTTGTCAGCTTATATAGAGATTGCCTGAATAAGCGTTTGGGCAACTCGGAATGATTGTGGTAGACGTATGAAGTCCCTTTCCCGTTCACTTTTATCATTTTCTTCACAATAAAGGTCTCAAGTAAATCATGGTTGCGCAGCAACGAAGCATCAGTGTTGAACACTGATGTTATGCTGTCGATGAAGATGGGAGTAAAAGCCACCTGATTAACAGTCTGGAGCGACTGATTACAAAATAATGTCCACTTCTATTACTAAACATGTGCGCGATCATTCGGCCCGTTTTTCTGAAAGGTATGGTTGTTTCGCATCACAAGATAGAATTGGGATTCAAGTCTAGACACAAATTAAATTCTCGTCTTACAGTTATTTGCGCAGCAAGCATCAGTGTGGAACACTGATGTTATGCTGTCGATGAAGATGGGAGTAAAATCCACCTGATTAACAGTCTGGAGCGACTGATTACAAAATAATGTCCACTTCTATTACTAAACATGTGCGCGATCATTCGGCCCGTTTTTCTGAAAGGTATGGTTGTTTCGCATCACAAGATAGAATTGGGATTCAAGCCTAGACACAAATTAAATTCTCGTCTTACAGTTATGCTATAATTATGAGGAGCTGGATATATCTAAATGCGCGGTACAGTGCAACGCACTGCGAAGCGAAACGGCCGATCTCAATGAGACGTTCCACGAAAAGTTGGTGGCAACGTACATTATTCATTTTGATCGTTGCATACATCATAGAATGAATCAGGATGCGTTTACTGGGTACGATAAAAGACTATACGCATAAATTATGCCACCACGAACAAGTAGCGAAAATTCGACCATGTGTGTGCTGTGATTGCTAGACGCGTAAATAATAAGATGCCAAAAATTGTAACTTTTGCAACATTTATCCACTGTTCGCGGTCGAACGGCTAAGAGTTCAAACTACTGACTCGAAATTGCGGGTCCAACCCCCCCCCCTGATGTTTCGTGAGAGGCACACTGCTGATAATTTACAAGGTGAATGACAGCTGTATAGTGCTTCTCATCATTGATTGGCTTCACTTACAGGAAGAAATCACGACTGAAAGTTACCGTGTCTCCTTAAATTTCCATTACACTGGGATACATCAGAAAGCATTCAACAAAGAAAAAACGCAACAGAACTCATACTCTAGGTAGCGCAACGCCCCCTCTTCATCGTCCTGTATTTTAGCCAGGGCGTGATTACAGTCTTCCTTCGTATAAGCCTCGTGAGAAAAAATGCTGAAATGTTTTGTGCGTTGAGGGTGAGGTAAAACAATCTGTTTTTGATCCAGCGACAGGATTCTTCGATATTGCTGGTTTTCTAACTATTAAGAATTGTTCATCCTCAAATATAGTATTATGTCTCGTGAAATAGTAAGTCTTATTCCCTCTCCCCCGTAATCGAAATTTTAGTAAAGATTAAAAACTTTCTCCTTCCACGTCTTCATCGCGTTTATCTGCAGTTTTGGGGATGGGCAATGTTCACGATAGCCACATAGGCCTGAAACCACACACTGACCGCGTGATTGTCTGCCTTGCTGTCGCTCCCCTCTTGTCATTAAGTGAGGGGCACGTAACAGTATGAGTGGAATGATACCTTCCAGAGTGCCTTACCTTGAAAAAGTGAACTTGAAGGTCGCACGCATGTTGCGGTGCGGATATGTAAAACGAACCCTGTGCGACGTCAACGTTAAGATGTTTAATCCAATCCAAACTGACCCCCGAATTTGTGCGCAATTCAGCTTAGTCGGGAAGTACCTTTGTACAGTTCAATATAACGCAGAAACTCCCTAATCGAGCCCCATATGACTATGTGTATCTGTACACGAAAACAAACATTTTTAGTCAAGCAACAGTTAATCTGTGTTGAAAAATCAAAGTGACTGCATGATTTCGTCACATTTGTTACCCGCTTGGTCTAGAAGAGACGCTTCCCAAAAAATTTCACAAGCCGAAAAATGGCGCATATTTTGTGAGTTACCATTTGCGTTCCAAGGTCCCAAGATAAAACATGTGTAAGTTGTGCGAGAAAAACTGTTCACAAAATTCTGGAGATAGACGACATCCTGAAACAGATGTATCAGTAGTTTAACTGTCCGGGATGAATACTGATTTTGTTGGAGTTTACTATAGCTTAAGGAGTCAATAAATAGAGACAACACAAACGGCGACGAAACAAAAGAAGGCAAAAATTTGGACCCCGGTGGAGTAATCAACTGGACCTGCGCCTAGCTGACATAAAGGAGGCAGTCACTTCGACATAAAAGGTACACTGTATGGAAGGTGAACCACATAGGAAGAAACCGATTTCCTTGTTATTCCGCCATCGTCATCTTCAATAGCAATACACCAACAGTAATTAGCTGTCATACAACCATGGGGACAATGACCTGGTAAAGAGTGGAAAGCAAATGATGGTGAACTTACTCTAAACAGCCCCATATCTCCATAAAGACTATCAAGATCAAGGTGCCTGGGCATTCCAAAAACGATGAAATAGTACATCGTGTAGAAGAAAGAGGCCATTAGTGGGATTGAAACCACGTCCCTTCCGAAACCCAACTAGTATGACCCCATCATACCACGACAGGTAAATTCTAGCTAGGAAGTGACGGTATGCTCACCAGTGTGACCGGTTGCGTGCTACTCTTTGTAAGGTTTCTAACCACGTATAAAGAGGAACATGAGGACCCAGAACAGGAAGGCGCCAAGATCCCACAGCACCTATTTTGACAGAAACCGTTTGCAGTTCACGCTCCCAAGTCACGGCCTTCCTTCACATACGGTTTAGGGGACAGCACTATCTTTGGCAGACGGTGCCCGGCATGTGCGTTCCAACCGCCTCAACCTGACGAGTCTTCTTTGCTATCCGGTGGTTCTCATTCATCACAAAATACTCGCTTACACAACACTTCATTTTGAACACGATGAGGCCAGCTAACGCCCGCTATAACGCGAGCGCATCAATGATAAGACGTTTAGTCATCCCATCGGAGGGGACAAGTTTTACAACGTTACACCGTTGTTTATGTCCAACTTCGAGTTGTCGTTCCTTCACATTAATTACATGACCACACACCCTTCAGGTGCCGAGCTGCCATGCCACCGGAAGGAAGCACGAGGACTGAGATAGTTCTAGGTTGCTCAAGCCCAGACGGAAAGGCGAGATGCAGGGGTCGGGTTCGAACAACGGATCTTCCTGTAAGTAAATTCGCGCTCTAACCACTTGAGTCTATTCGCCTCACAGGCCCACTAACAAGCTTATGAAACATTGCCTAGAGACCGTGCGAGAAAAACGTTGGTTGTAGGAAATCCTAATATTACGCTTTTATGAGTAGCATTCAAGACATTGTGCAGGTCATGCTAGTTTAGAGCTTTTTATGACACTATGTTTTCGTATGCTCGCGAATCGGTTTATGGGTGCAAGGCAAAGCACATTTACTGGTTTATGTAACTATCACCTGTTCCCGCTAGCTAAAAGAAACAACAGACAGCTGAACTGAAGTACAGAGTCTTTCATCTCATCAACGTGTCCGTGGGTTTCGGTTCAGCCTTCATAAACTAGTTCAATTCGAAAGTCATGTGCAAAACAGACAACAGATAGTTAGTCACAGGTTTGAACACTCAAACGTGGATACTATCCGGCAAAAGGTTCCGAAAACTAATCATAAGTCAAATATCGCATGCGTGCATGAGGAGAAGTTATTTCCGGAAGGCTGAAAACATCACCCAATGGGAAACATCAGGACATTGATATGGGTTGCTATGGCAAAGGACCATCGAGATTTTGCACCACGTGACTTGCCTCATGCCGTTGTCCACACTTCACGTGATTGTCCGGCCATAAGCATGTGTTTACTCTCCACGTGACCGTTCGGTCCTAAGACCGAGTGCTGATTATAAGAAAGCCAGTGACGGCATCACAAATTAACGGTAGAACTTTGAAATAAAGTAGAATCAAAACGCCTGATTAACCGTGGCGTGTATTCTCCCAAGATTTCCCACAACATTTAAAACTGTGTGACACATTTTAATTCTGAAGCTGTATAAACAGATAACTTTCCGGTTGCCTATGCTCTGTGAGGAGGGAGGACAAGCGAACGGAGAACCTGTACTTTGCCCATCTGAAACTCGTGGAGGGCCGGAAATGAACGGAACAAATTAAAGAATCAACAAATTCAATTACACTTTCGGGATGTAATTCACCTACACTAAATGAATCGAGATGTTACGGGAATTCGTATGAATTACACGAACACTACACCAGTTAAACAACAATACAGGAGTAGGACTAACCGCTGTTGCCGGCTCACTGGTGGGATGTGGTTGGTGGGTGAGTGAGCTGTTTGCTTCTGAGGAGACTCTGATGTATGAGCTGATGTGCCATCTGCGGACGGTTGAATCTGCTGATCTCTTCGCGAATGCTTCAGACAAAGTCCCTATGGAAAGGCAACAAAAGACGTGGTGGAAAAAACGATTCGATCCGCAGCCGTGCGAAAACGAAAAGATAGTCATCTGAATTATTGGAACCAAGAGCACCCAAGAAGGCTTCCATAGGCCTGACCACCGTGACAAAGTTGATGATATCCTGAATTCAAAAACAGATGATCAACTTCTGGTAAATCTCTAAATACCAAAGTGTTCCAACGCGATTAACCGAAACCCCAAGGAAGTACGGCTTACTCGGTTCACAGTTTGGATACATGATTAAAATGCTGAAGACAAAAACTCAAAAAATAACGCAATAAAAACACACGTCTAATGGGAGTCCCAGCCAACTTGTCTAACCCGTGTGCGATTTCTCATGAATCAGTAGTAACCCGTGTAAAGATTGGGCATGCAGTGCTTCGAGTAAGATCTCGAGATACCTGAATAAGATCAACAATCCGCACATATGAAGCGTCGGACTCATCCGTTTAAATCCACGTAGTCATTAGAGCGCATGTGTGAAATTGGCTGAAATTACGTCCACATTAATAGTCGTTAATGTTAATTCTCTGGAAAAATGCAACTAATTAGAGAAGTTTTGGATTTAGGGATCAGTATGAAAATAGGTTGTTCAAAAAAAGTATTGACAAACCAATGTAAAAGCATCCATATAAAAGTAGGGCTCGTAAGCAGTCCTTGTTGTTGGGGAATCAAAATAACCGAAGCCGTTCTTCACCTGCCGAGCTTTCGACATCCACGAGCGCTCTGCCAAACCTTGGGTTCTACACTATTCTTATTTTGTTCTAAACGGTTGAAAGTGTATGACCGAAATGGGGTTTGCATGTGTGTTGTAAAGACAGCATACATCAATCAAAAACCAAAGCAACGTTAAGTCAATAGATGCATAGTGATAAAGAATGATAGTCGCAAGGCGAAACAGATTCTTCGGATACGTTTGGGACTTATTTCGGCCTGTTTTATCGAGCAGAAGTCTAGATTCGTGGCAGCGATCAGGTGTTTAACAGCACGGTGAACGGGGTATGGGGGAGGGCCAGCGGAATAAGACTTCCCGACTGCCTATGCTGAAAAAGCTGGTTTCACTGAAGTACAGCACCCTGGGACTTTGACAAAAAAAGTCTGACGATTAAAGTAAGCTTTCCTAGGGAATCCCACCAGAAGCCAGTGAGTAGATGATCCTATCAGCTAGGCTTTAAGAACGTAATCTGGCCCGAGGTTTCAGCAAGTGAGGCAAAACTGTCCGACTCCAAATGCTACTACGCACAGCACATCCGGTGCAAAGGGTGCTGTAGTAGTATGCCGGTATCCACTCGCTTCACTGAGGCCAGTCGTTTGAGCCAAATGTTTCGTTTGAGAGCCCCAACAGTGTGTGTGGGCACTCAAAGAGCACCCCAATACACACGAAACCATGACCCTCACAAACCAAAATGCTACCGTGCGAAATCGGCCATCGCGTGGTGCCGTCACTCAGTGCGCCGTAGTTGCTGCATATAGCAGGACGGGTAAGCAAAAATATAGTACAGCTGACGCCCCCTTCTTTCATTTCCAAGTATTCCCTCTTTTACAATAACCCAGTCTAATGTGAATGCTTTCTTCCCATCTTTGGCTGAGCACCTTTGGTGACGCGAAAGTCGCTGCAGCTGGATGTCGGGGTGGATACTATGTTGAAGCATCAGCTCGAGATAAAGCGCAAACTTACTGACCGGAAGGTCTATGGTTCGAACCCAACCTCATCGTCTCGACTGTTCCTGTCTAGACTTCGGTAACGTGGCAGTATTCCAGCCCTCGTGCCTCCTGTTGGCATGGCAGCTAGGCAGCGAAAGGGGCTACAGCTGAACGATTTTTTAAGAGTCAAGCGGGAGCGCCTCTACTTGATTAGACATTCGGGTGGATACGAAAAGTACGGACAGGGGAGAACAGCAGTATAATGCCTGCTGCCGGTGTGTGCCAATCGCAGTACCGAACTCCGAAACAGAGAAAATTGTCCGATCGCATTGTGTCCATCCACGAATCGGCCCAGAACATACCAGAATGCCATCAGGTACCGGTGGATGATCATTGCTAGCCGTTTGTTCTGGAATTTCTGAGTGGACTCCGAGCATATAGTTGTCCGTTGCTGCTTCCCGATGCGCTTTCCAGGTTCATGCAAAGCACGCACACAGTGTGTGGCCATTAACAAACTCATGGACCCCGAATTCAAAGAAATGTAAAAGAACATGCCTGTCCAACGTCTGTTTGATGATCTATGGCACCGTGGCTTTGCTGGAGGCCCGGCGACTAACACCCGTTTACAAATGTATCCATCCGAAGCATATTCCGACTCCAGGTAAAACTGAGTGTCAGCGCAGAACGGGGAGCTTGTGCCATTCCGAAAGACCGAACAAACAGAAGACGGTAAAAAAAAGTGCTGGAAACGTCTGAAGACTGCTCTGCTTAACTTGTTCTAGTCCTTAGAAGCCTCTTGCCCGTAAAAGCATCAAGGATCAAAACGGTTCTCTGATATCCAGCAAAGGTCGCTTGGATTGTTGAGCCCAATACTTGGAATAAATTAGTTGGTAAGGTGCCACCTAAAATCCAGACGGTTATCCTATAATAGGAACGCGCCCTGTTAATATGGAGACTCCTTCAGCCCCAAAAGTTAAAAAAATCGTTTAGTTGTAACATCCCTGTAGTGCATGGCCACCATGACACATTAGAAAAGCACTGGGGCTGAGATACTGCCAGGCTGCCCAAATCCAGACAGTAGTAGTCAAGACGCACAGTTGGGTTCGAACCGCAGACCGTCCTGCCCATGGGTTCGCGCCATAACTCCTGAGTTAGTCCGGGTTCGTCCTCAAACCCAGAAGTGTCTGAGTGTGTATCTCTACACAACCGTCATCGTGCTCCTGGTTCTGACGACCTACTATTTGCTATGTTCAAGGACGACGGTGAATTCATCAGCCTGTGCCTGTCCAGTCAACGTGCGTCTATCTGAGCGAAAAAGACAGCCCCGAACAGCCGGAGTGAGTCCACAATAGTATCCACCACCACGAAGGGTACTCGTAGAAGAAGCAGTAACCACAATAGTGCCAGTTGTTTTCCGTCACGAAGGGGGTAGTCTGACGGTTTGTGCGCCCCGAGAACCGGTGATCTATACTGCTCTCTCAGCAGGTTCCAGCATCAGGAATGACCGCTTTGCTCGACGTGCATCACACTCAGCTGAAACTTCCGTACTTCCGACTTCAGTAACAACCCTAAACACTTCGAAGTCTGTTTTCAAACCCCGAAAGTCTGTATGCTTGGCCGCCTCTAATTTTCGCACACTGAAGCAATCAGGGATAACAGGTGGCTCTTGTTCGTACACTGCACTGATGTACGCTGCCTGTCAGGAACAACGATAGAGGACGTAAGTAACGTGATTGGACTGACTGCCCCGTCGCTCTCTACAAATTTTCGGTTGCGCACCTCTGGTGATGCAGATTCCGCTGCAACTGGATGTGCTCCGGTAGCGGAAGCGTATCTGCTTGAGAGTCACCTTTGCGTGGTTCGCTTGGCAACTTGTATGACAGAATCCCCAGGACAGCGGAAATCGCTTGACAACGTGGTGCACATCCACGAACCAGCCCAGAATCCAAATCAACCACATCGCTGTCAGGTATCGGTGGTCAATCACTACTTACCGCTCCTTCTGGACTCTGACCATGCACTTGTACGCTGCCCCTTTTCATTGCGTTTTTCAGGTGGACACCCCGCTGGGCCACTGAGAAGCTAGTGGACCCAGAAGTCAAACGAGAATATCAGAACCAGCTCCTCGAACGCCTGCCGGGCGGCACGATGTTGGATATAAACAGCCACTGGGAAAGGATATCGAAAGCGCTATTCAAAGCCGGAATGTCTGTTTGCGGTGCAACCCAGCCAACATCATCCAAACAGTGGATCTCTGATAGGACCGTGTCTTTGCTGGAGAGCGACGACAGAATCCACCTGGCCGCAACCACAGTTCCACCCGTCGCATCGTCCGACGCCAGGTGAAACTGAGTGTCCGCGCAGACCGAGAAGCTTGGTGGACCCGGAAGGTCGAAGAAATGGAAGATGCGAAGAATGCCGGAAACGTGCGAAAATTGTTCCACTTGATTCGTTCGACTGGTCCTCGGAAACCTCTTGTCAGCGAAATAATCAGGGACAAAAATGGCTCCCTGATATGCAGCAAAGCAGAACGTTTGGACCGCTGGGCACATTACTTCGAGTAGCAGTTCAGCTGGCCATCTGCCACCTCCACTCCAGAAACCTGGCCTTCAACAGAACGGTAGACCGTAAATATGAAGCCGTCTTCAGTCCCGAAGTGTCCGAGTGTATTTCTCTACCCAAGCTTCATAATGCTGCTGGTCCTGATGATCACCGGGTAGATGCTGCGTTGACCACATCTTCACACTCCGTCAGGTGTAAGAGCAACACCACATGCATAAACGACCCTTGATTTCAAGGGTGCGTTTAATTCTGTCGATCAGTGCTGCTAACTACATTTGCTAAACAGGGTAAGCCCCAGAAGTTTGTAAACATAATCCGATCCCTATATTCACATACTTCTGGGCGGATGAGAGTGTATGATGAGCTCTCCATAAGCTTCCCTACAAAAAGTGGTGTCAGACAAGGATGTCCACTCTCCTCATTCTTGTTCAACTCCGTCATCGATGAAATAATGAGGCGAACACTGGACGATCTTCAAAACGCCGGTGCTCAAATTGTTGCTGGTGAGAGCCTTGAAGATTTGGAATATGCGGATGGCATCACCTTCATCTTTGGAGACCAAAGCGATACACAAGCTATTGAATAAACTGACCACCATCACACCATCTTTTGGCATGCGCCCTGCACCTTCAAAGTGCAAAGTCATGCTTCAGAACGTGCCATCTGCGACCACCTTCCTTGCAATTTAAGGAGAATCACTGGAGGTTGTGGAGAAGTCTACATACCTTGGTAGTTGTATTGGATCTGATGCAAACGTGTCTGATGAAGTCACGAAGAGACAGGACCTTACCGTGGTGTGACGGTTTGCGCACCTCAGCGATCCATTGAGCTATACTGGAGAGTGTCCCGCGACACTCACAGAGTCTCTCATACCAGGTTGGTCAATGGTTAGAGGTCTGACGAACACAGTCTCCTGGCCCTCCAGGTTGGGGGTTGGTACATGTGGCGACTTGTTCCGTAGAAGTGGTAATGCATTTGCATTT